GGTAAAATGCTTGGTCTTGTTCTGGTGGGCAGCTCAGTTGGTTAGAGTATCATCCTTATATGCCAAGGCTGCAGGTTTGATCTGTGGTCAGGGCACATACAGGAAGCAGCCAATGAATATATACAAAAGTGGAACAATATATTTCTCTCTCTCTCTCTGTCTCTCTCTCTCTCTCTCTCCTCTCTCTCTCTCTCTCTCTCTCTCATCAATAAATAAAATTTAAAAAACCATCCTTTGTCTTTCATGTAACTTTTAGTGCTATGCTCAGTTTAAGAGAGTGTCTATTTAATAAAACACTGATATTTTCCTAACAAGAGACACTAGATAACACATACACCCCAAATGTTTGTGGAAAATTTGTTTTATACTTTTTTGAAACTTTGGGGTAATTTTTGCAATAAGATAGTATTACTTATATAATCAGAACAAGGATATAACTACTTAAAAAACAAATAAGGAAATTATCAACAAAAGTACACCATAGCCTTAAGAGAAGAAAATCAGGTGTTGTATTTGGCGTATGGCTTATCAGAGAGAAGTAAGAGAATAGGAGAGAAAAATCGGCAAGGGAAGATGTCTGCCTACCCACATCAGAGGTGTAAACATCTTTAATATTTATCTCCAACAAAGTAAGGGACTCAGAATCAGAACATAGACTCAGAATCCCTTTGCAGTCCACATCCCACATATAAGCATGATACATGGGCTGCCAGAATGTTCCCACAAACAAGGCCATCTCCAATGAGATCCTCTCAGGGCTTCAGCTGCCTATTCCAGGCACAGGACGTTGGAAACAGACTCAGGTTTACATCCAATTCCACTTTCTAATATGCAGCAAGGAGGAAGATGTCAGTCCATGAGTAGGAATAAACTTGCTCTGATTCCCTTATGTGCTCTAGTTCAGCCCCTCAGGGGACAAGGCTCCATCCTGAGATGCTAGGCTGGGGTCAAGGCTCTGCCTGGGGTCCTAGGGCGGGAAGAGGTAAGTGACCCACAGAGAGGTCACCATATGACACCAGTCTCATGAGTTCGCTGCCCTCACCAAATGAAAGGTCAGACAAAACCAACATTGGCTCTGCTTTTAGCTGGAAAACACTACCAATGACTGAATTTCAGGAAGGGCTGTCCATGTTGTGCTTATGGGTTGGAGCAACTAACATGACCAAAAGCCTACGTGCATTTGCTAGTCCTCGTTCTAATCTAATACCTGCTAAATTATTGGCGCTTGTCAATCTCTATTAAAGCAGAAAGCAAGGAGGCTACTTCCTCATTGATGGGGATGTAGTTTGGTTCAAATCAATTCTGTGAACACTTATCGAGGCTTTGTGTTGGGGTGTGGCAGCAGAAGCATTCTCCTCATCCCAGTACTGAGACTAATTTTACTTCGTCTTATATTCCTTACACTGAGGACGTGCACTTAAACTTGTAGCATAGTTTAGCTAATTTTGAACCTGTTTCTAGACATGGTAAAAGTTAAGCCTGGTTAGCTACACAAATTCAATGACCCCAAACAATACACTGTATTCCATATAGCCATGTATGTTGGCAGGGTTCCCCTAACCCAGCCATGGGCAAACTACGGCCCGTTTGAAATGAATAAAACTGAAAAAAAAAAAAAAAAAGACCGTACCCTTTTATGTAATGATGTTTACTTTGAATTTATATTAGTTCACACAAACACTCCATCCATGCTTTTGTTCCGGCCCTCCGGTCCAGTTTAAGAACCCATTGTGGCCCTCGAGTCAAAAAGTTTGCCCACCCCTGCCCTAACCTTTTCTTCTTCTAGCTCATTCATTCAAATTTCATTACATCTCTGATAAATTTTGCATTTTTAATCGGGTGGGGGGGGTGGAGAATAAGACTATGCTGGGAGGTCACCTTCAAATCCATAACTTTGCCCCCTCTATCAAATAGTTTCTCTCCACTGTTTTCTATTTATGATTTAATATAAATCAATACTGCTATGGTCTGAATGTTCGTGTCTCCCCAAAAAATCCCATGTTGAAATCCCAGTGCCTGTGTGATGATATTAGGAGGTGGGGCCTTTGGGTAATGAGGGAGGAGACCCCGTGAATAGGATCAGTGCCCGTAGGGAAGAGACTCACAGAGCTCCATTGCCCGCTTTCTCTAGGCATGGACGTAGGGAGGAGCTGGCAGTCTGCAATCCGCTGAGGGCCCTGCCCAGAACCTGACCATGCTGATACCCTAATCTTAGACTTCCAGCCTCCAGAACCATAAGAAATAATTTCTTTGGTTTATAAACCAGCCAATGGTATTTTGTTACAGCAGCCTGAATGAACTAAGACAAACACAAAATATTAACATGTAAAATCAATGTGTTCATAAACTCCCGGAATATGACCAGCCTTCTCGCTTTGGTATTTCAGTATGAACTCTACCTTATGGGGAGCAGAAGACAGTTACAGAGAACCAGAGATAAGGCAGGAGGGAACAGCTGAACCTACTGGATGAACTCTATTACAATAATTTAACTCAAGCTTTTCTAAAGAGATGAGAATGTTGAGCCGAAAGAGGCAAGTAAAGGTTAGGTGGTCTCTACATAGGAAAAATCGTTTCTTATCACCACAGCCACCCAACTTGAATTATAGCCAATTTGATTTTCTCTGCCTCCTCCTGGTCCTCTCTATCTTTGGTGAAAGTGCTAAGAAAAATAAAATGGTCAAGGCACAAGGCATGAGGGACAAATGAGGTCAATTTATAATGCTGATAGTTGAGTATATCTTGCAAAGGTTAAATGCCCTTCAGTAATCATAGCCCAACGAGTCATTGTACTTCCACATATATTTATTATGAGGAAATATAGCTCAGAGAGGATAAAGGTCTTATCCAAATATGATAAGACCTATTAACAGATCAGTGTTTCTAATCAAAAGATCCCTAACAGGTAGCAATCATCTGGACATTCCTTATACTCACTGGTTATACACAAAGAACAAGGACAGTGCCTTCTGGCCCTGAAATACCACTCCAAAATGGACACAGGCCAGCCTCGTTCAGGACAAATGTCCAGTTAGTTAGCTTAGATTTGCTTTAATTCCCTTACTATTTCCTTAAACACAATGGAGTTAATTTGTGTCCAATAATCCTGAGAGCTGGGAATTTTCTAATGTAAATTAAGGTGTGTGCTAGTCTGGCTTTAGCTGGGAGGCTTGGCTAGGATGAGCCTGCTCCACGTGACTGTCCTTCTCTCCCTGTAGGTTAGTACGGGAATGTCCTCCTCATGAAGACAACAGGACACAAGAAGGGAAATGGAACGACATAAGGTTGGTCAGAGGTCAGGCTCTACAGATACAGTCATGTCTGCCTCGCTCTGTTGGTCAAAGTGCATCATAGAATCGAACCACAAGTCAGACGTTGAGAAAACCCCCTCTGCCCCTAAGAGTCCTGGCAAGGGTGTGGATGCAGGGAGAGGTGGAGATTTGGGGCCCAATCTCAGTCTCCCACAAAAGGAAGGAAATGTGAATACATATTTGAAATATATAGAAAAGTACAGAGAGCATTATGACAGGTATCCACCTCCAATGATTAACAAATTAATATATTTTTATATTTGCTTTTGATCTTCTGTTTTC